AATACTCCGTGACACTACCCATTTGTCCTTCCACCCAAACTATCCATCTATCCATTCACATTATCTTTCTATCCATCCACCCATGCAGCCACTGGCAGTATGCATCTATTTGCCCCTCTTCTACCTTTCCATCAACCCACCTTTCCATGGACAGCAGGGATCTATCCCTCTGTCTACTCAGTCTCCATCCGTCCATCCATCCATCCATCCATCCCCATAGCATCCAGGTGCCTGTTCCCCTCCCTTTTTAACTCTTTACAGACCTCTCCAATCCTTGCCTTCCAAACCCTTTGCTTAGCTTCCATCCCCCCGCCCCTGCCCAGGGCCGCGAGGGTCAATGTTGCTCAGAGAGGCCCCAGTGCTGGAGAAGGACCCGTAGGGAATGCCCTTGGCTAGGCGCCTGGGGGGCTGAGCTCCCTCTTGCTGGAGTCTCCAATATGGTTCTCCTCCAGCTATGATGCTTGCAAGGACCAGCCACGGAAGACGCATGGAGCATCCTGCACCACGTGTGCCACGAAACCCTGCCCCCTCCGGGCAGATCCTCACCACGCCCGTTACCTTGTTCCTCGGCTCGGCCGGGCACGGGGCACTTGCTCTGGAGGTCTAGACTAGTCCTTGACCACTTCCTCCTCCTGGGAGAGGGTGTCTCCCCCGCACCCGCCTCTTGGCCACGGGTGGCCAGCCCCTTCTCGCAGTCCTTGCTCGGGGCCACCCCGTTGAGTTCCCTGGCCCTGTCGTCGGCCCCATCCTGCGCCCGGGAGGCCGGGGGCTGCCCGCCGTTGGTCTGGGAACAGACGTTGCTGACCTGGGCCTTCTTGTTCCCGTCGTGGACCTTGTAGCGAATCATGAGGATGATGATGAAGAGCAGGACGGAGGCGACGATGATCCCGCCGATGATGATGATCATGGTGCCGCCCAGGAAGTGGGCGTGCAGGGAGCGGCACTGCGGGGAGCCGGGCTGGGTGCTGAAGCGGACGCAGCCCAGGGGGCGGGTGGCCGTCAGCGCCGTCGCCCCGTCGTCGTAGACGGCCAGCACGCACAGGTCGTAGGCCCGCCCCGCCGCCAGGTCCTTCACCAGGAAGGCCCTACTGGGCGGGGGGATCATCCTGGGGGGGTGGGAGGGGGAGCGATGAGCGATGCCTGCAGCCGGGATCCCTCCCCCACCTCGCCCCCCGCCCCACGGCCACCCTGCTACCCTCCTCCACGCCCTGCCCCATGGCCACCCTGCTACCCTCCTCCAGCGCCCCCCGCCCCACAGCCACCCTGCTACCCTCCTCCACGCCCCGTCCCACGGCCACCCTGCTACCCTCCTCCACGCCCCGTCCCACGGCCACCCTGCTACCCTCCTCTAGCACCCCCACCCCATGGCCACCCCCCTCTATGTTGGTTAGCGCAGACCTCCCCCCGGCCACAAGCCCCTCAGATGGAATCCACCCCCCAAAAACCCCCAGCCTAGAGCCACCCAGGCGAGACCCATTGGCCGACCCAGGCCAGAACCGCTCAGACCGCCCCCCCGCCCCGAGCCCGGCACCCCCCGCCCAGCGGCATGGGCTCACCTGTACACCAGGGTCTCATCGGAGGAGCTGTTGTACTGGATTTGGTACATGCGGACGCCGGGCCCGGGCCGCGGCGGGACCCAGCGAATGAGGGCGGAGGACGCCGAGAGCTCGGAGGCCAGGACTCCCCCATCTCGCGGGGTGGCACTCCCGTTGGCGCCCGCCTTGGCCGAGGTGAGGATATCGGAGGGCCCGGGTGCTGGGGGGCGGGTGCCGTCGGCGAGCTGGGGCAAGGGGCTGACCTGCAGCTCCACGGAGGCGGTGGCCTCGCCGGCAGCGTTGGAAGCCACACAGGTGAAGGCGCCGGCGTCCTGGACGGCGGCCACCAGGATCTCCAGGCTGCCGTTCTCGTAGGCCAGCGTCCGGGAGCCGTTGGCCACCAGCTTCCCCTCCGGAGAGAGCCAGTGCACCGCTGGCTCGGGGTCGCCCGCCCCGCGGCAGCGCAAGGTGGCCGCCTGGCCCTCCGTCACCACCAGCCGGCCCGTGTGGTGGGTGATGACAGGCAGCTGGCAGACAAACTCCTCCTCGGGGACGCTCCAGAAGTACTTGCCCAGGAGCTCGGGCGGCGAGGCGCAGGTCTCCAGGTCGTCCTCGCGCGCCAGGCGCCGGAGCCAGAGAAGCTCGCAGTTGCAGTGCAAGGGGTTACCCCCGAAGCTGAGCACCAGGGAGGAGAGGGGCGAGCCCTTCGACTTGGCATAGACGGGCAGGCGGAGGAAAAGCGGGTCCGGGGGGATCTTCTTCAGCCGGTTGGAGGTCATGTCCAGCCGGGCCAGTTTGTGCAGGTTGGCGAAGACGCCTTGGGGCACGTGGGCGATGAGGTTGTGGTCCAGGCTGAGGGAGTTGACGTTGCTAAGGCGACGGATGGTCTCCCAGGGCAGCCGGGCCAGGTTGTTGTAGGACAGGTCCAGGTCCTCCAGGGTGCCGGCGAAGTCGTCGAAGGCGCCGGGCGCCACGGCCTGCAGCTGGTTGTTACCCAGGATAAGGTGGCGCAGGTTGGGCAGGCCCCGGAGCTGCTGGGCCCCGATGGCCGGCAGGCGGTTGCCGTCCAGGTGGAGGGCCCGCAGGCCGCGCAGGTCGGCGAAGGCGAAGGGCACCAGCTGGCGGATGGCGTTGCGGGAGAGGGTCAGGTGCACCAGGCGCGTCATGTTGGCGAAGTCCCGGCGCCGCACGGCCGCGATGAAGTTGTCCGTCAGCCGCAGCTCGGCCGTGCGCCGGTCGAGGAGCCCGGGCACGAAGAGCAGCCCGGCGCGGGCGCACAGGACGGCCAGCGAGGGGGACAGGTTCTGGCACGTGCAGCGGGGGGGGCACAGCTGGGCATGGGAGGGGCCCAGGCAGAGGGCCAGGGCGTAGAGCAGCAGGCGCTCCATGGCACTGTCAGGGGGCCCGGCTGCAGGGAGAGAAGGAGAGAGACGGGCCAGGTGAGAGCAGAGCCTTTCTTACCCGGGACTGTATCCTCCTTCACCAGCCGGGGGTGCCCTGCGCTACTCCTAGCTCCTGGAGGGGAAGTGCGGGCTAGCAGTGAGAGCAGGGGGCTGGGAGCCAGGACTCCTGGGTTGTATCCCTGGCTCTGGGCGGGGAGTGGGGGCTAGTGGTGAGAGCTGGGGGCTGGGAGCCAGGACTCCTGGGTTCCATGCCCTATTTTAGAACTGACTCTGTGTGGCTTTGGGCTACTAACCTGCCCTTTCTGTGCCTCAGTTTCCTACCCTATAAAATGGGCCAAGTAACCCTTTATCCACAGATCCTTCCCTTTAGGCCCAGGGGCGCACACGCTTCCCCCCGCCCGCCCCCCAAGTCCTTTCTCAGCAGCCCCCAGGGCACACACACACACACACAGACTCTTCCCAGCATCCCTCAGGGTACAGGTGCCCCACCCCAGACCTTCCCAGCAGCCCCCAGGGTACACCCCCCTCCCACCTTTCCCAGCAGTCCCCGGGGCACACACACAGCCCAGGCCCCTCCCAGCAGCCCCCAGGAACAAAGTGAGGGAGGCAACTGGGGTCCAGAAGGAGCTGCCCAAAGCCCTCCCCTGCCCCGACGCACTGAGGACTTGGCAAAGCCAGGACAACTCAGCCCTGGTGCAGATTGGGGGGGCAGCAGCTGGGGGGCCCCGGGTGAGCAGGGCAGTGGGACCGCCTGGCAGAAGAGACAGGAGCAGCGGGGGCAGCACCAGGCTATGTGCACGGCATGGGGGGGTAGCAAGCTGTGCCCCCCCCCCATGCATCTCCTCAACCCCCTCCCCTACAGGCCACGGCCATTCTCCCCCCCCCCACACACACACACACACACTCATCCAGCCCCACTCAATGTCGGGGTCATGGAAGTGCATCCTGAGATGGGCCAGATTCGGAGCCTGGCTCCTCCGGCGTCAATCCAGAGTCACTCTGGCTTCTCCCAGAGGAAAGAAGGATCTACCCCGCCTGGATGGTGTTTTAAAAATCAAAACTCACCAGCCCGGTCCTGACCGCGACCCTACAATAACAATCACAACAAACTCATGTCGCCCGACCTTCACATGAGACCCTACTCTAACAAACCTATGTACTGTACACAACCCAACAGCTCCCAAGCTACCCTACAATAACAACCCCCCCTGCACCCATGTCCGGGGAGACAAACCAATTTCCAGAAGGAAAACCCTGAACGTTTGGGGGTTTGAATTCTGAAGCAATTTCATTCCATTCAAGACCGCCGCCAAGCGGGGGTCTGGAAATCCGGGGGCGGACGGAAAGCACCTGGAGCCATCGCCTACTAATTAACAAATTAACGACGTCATTAGGAGCCATGTGGCTTTGCTAAACGGCACGGGGACCGGTGGCACGCCGGAAAGTTTCCGACAAGTTCAAACAAGGGACAGTCCGTCTCACAGCGGCTCCGGAGTGGCGCTGAGCAGGGAAGCGTCAGCGCGGGAGTTCATTCGAAGGCACCGTGTGGGCGTTGAGCTCGGGGGGTTTTCCCCTCCTTTGCTCGGGCCAAACGGGCACCTCTTGCAGCTTTTCAGTCTCTTCTCAAAGCCCCAGCTGCCGGAATCATGAGATTCAAAGAAAGCGCAGTTCTCCCCCTCGCGGCCGCAAAGCTCCGACACGCCCCCGCGGCGGCTCAGACGCAAAGGAAACAAACGTTTTCCAGATTCTCTTTGAACCCAGCCTCGTGGTTTTGGGGAGGCCGGGCTCCGGAGCATCGAACGCTCGGGGTCACGTGAGGCCAGCTGACCCCCGCTGCCATGTGTAACGATAGAGATGGTTCTAGTGCTCCTGCTTGGGAAGGGAAGCTGGATGACGTGAGCCGTTAATCCCCCAGTGTGGACGCAGGTCTAGCCGGCTCAAGGGAACCCATTCCCCTTCCCACGCTGGAGCGTCCGTACTGCTTTATCCCCCTCTAAACACAGCCACACTAGAGGCGTGGTGCTGCTGTAACCAGACCAGGAGAGTTAAACCCGGCCAACGTCAGTCTGGACAAGACTGGAGAGCTGGGGGGGGGAGCCCAGGGCTGGGCTAGTGGGGGGGGCTGCGGGTCGGGATTGAGGGGCACCGGGAGACCTGGAGTGAGGGGAGCCCTGGGCTCTGAGCCAGTCTGTTGCCTCTGGTTTGTTCTGTGTCCCCCACCGCACCCCCCACCTGCAGGAACCTGCAGCTTTGTTTGGATTCCCAGGCCCCCCACCCCCACCGGGTTTAATTCGGGAATCCAAGGCTAATCCAAGCTGATTAGCCTCCTGACGCAGCCCCCGCCGCCCTCGCCCGCAGCCCACATAGGGGAAGGTGGCGGCGGGGTCTGCCAGGGATCTAAGCCAGCATTGTAGGCGTGCGCGGGATGCCGGTGCGGCTGACCCGCATCAGCTGGGCTGGCTGGCTGGGCCCTTCACAGCAGGGGGAAGGGAGGGGCTGTATCTCACACCCCATTTCACAGATGGGGAAACTGAGGCATCACCCAGTGTCCCAGCCAGAAATGGAACCCAGGAGTCCTAATTCCCAGGCCATGCCACCTCTGTCACCCCTGGGTAATACTCCCTTCTGGGGCAGGGAGGAGAACCCAGGAGTCCTGATACCCCTTCCCTGCTCTTGCATCTCAGTGATACTTCTTCATTCACACCGATGTCCCTCAATCCTGACCCGCAGCCCCCAGGTATCCCAGCCCTGGGCTCTGCCCCACAGCTCTACCAATGCCCCTCTATCCCAACCTGCAGCCCCCAGGTATCCCAGCCCTGGGCTCTGCCCCACAGCTCTACCAATGCCCCTCTATCCCAACCTGCAGCCCCCAGGTATCCCAGCCCTGGGCTCTGCCCCACAGCTCTACCAATGCCCCTCTATCCCAACCCGCAGCCCCCAGGTATCCCAGCCCTGGGCTCTGCCCCACAGCTCTACCAATGCCCCTCTATCCAACCTGCAGCCCCCAGGTATCCTGGCCTTGGGCACCCTGATTCCCGGGAGCTCCTCTAACCTCATATCTGACCCCCTTGCAATCTGGGTTGGGTTCCTGTCCCGAGATCCCAGCTGGCCCCTCATCAGTCCAGCTGTGGGGCGGACTCGGACCCAGATTGATGGTCTGGTTCTGGGGGATATCTTGTGCTTTTGGCCCAGGACGCTGGGAGTCTCGGCTGTTCGGGGCAACCCAAACCTCACCGGAACCAGCCCCGAAAGCTGGGTCCCGCCAGATCAGGACCCTGAACAACAGCCTGAAGCCACTGCAGCTCCCAACGGCGCCTCCTGGGCTTGGCCCAGCTCCCCGCGCCACCTCCTGGGCCTGGCCCAGCTCCCAGGGCCCAGCTGGGTGTGAGGGGCTCCCAGCTGCATCTCCACTCAGGTAGCACTTCCTGGCCCTGGCCAATGGGCCCATCTAACCCGGTATCCCGCCTCTCCGTCACAGATCACACCGCTGGGCCTGGCCACCCCGTTGCCCAGGTATGGTGACCACTCCCCGGCAGCGGCCAGGGCCGCTGCCCCTCCTCCCATGTGGCGTCTCTCCCCGCCGGAGCCGGGACGGGCAGTGGGGACGGGGGGCAGGGAGTCTGCAGCGACCTCCTGGCTGGAGTGAGGCGGAGCAGGCAACAGGCAGGTGTAACCTTGGCCAGCTGCCCCCGTCATCCCGCCTGCTCCACTGGGGACCTGGGGCAAGGCAGGCCTGACCCCGCCCCTTTCCCCAACACGCCCCGCCCCCAAACACCCTCAGGTCCCCACACCCACCAATGCCCCAACACCCATATGCCCCCCAACACATGCCCAATAAACTCCCCCATGCCCTATAAACTCCCCGACACACACCCGTTTGCCCCTCCCCCAACACACCATCTACTGCCCCATTACAGGCCCCCCACATGCCCACTGTCACCCCCTCGTGCCCTCTAGCACCCCCTGCCCTGACAGCCTCCCTCCTGTATGCCCTCTATCCCCCCACACACTCCTCTGACAGCCCCTTCCAGCCGCCCTGTCCCAACACACTTCACCCACCCCCCATGCTGGGGGGGCATTCGGGGCACGACCCCTGGTCATAGACACACCCCACCCCCCGTGCATGGGATTCGGAGCCGGCTGTGCAGTGGTGGGATTTAACCCCTGGCCTGTGCCCCCCCCCCCAACCCTCCACCAGAGGGGAGGAAGCATCAGTGAGTCCCAATGCAACGGCCCCCTCCCGCTCCCAGGATAGATCCTCTGCCCCACCCCCCCTCAGGGCAGTGGGGCAAATCAGGTATGACCCACATGTGCTCTGTGGGATGTCCCCCCAGCCCCATGGACTTCTGGGTGATGGGGGGGTCCAGACTACATCCACACGCAGCCCCGCCCTCAAATCTCTGCTGGGGACGGACAAACCGTGAAATCAATGAGCCCCAGGCGGGACGCGGGGGAGATGGGCAGCTGGGGGGGATGGGGAGCCAGACTAGCCCTTCCTCCAGCCAGGGTGAGCCCCTCTCCCCCCACCATCAGGCCACCCTGCTCCCCCAGTTCGGCTTGGGGGGTGGCGCCGCCAGGGTGGGGTCCGGGGCAGAATGACAGGCTTGTGATTTTAGTTGAATTTTGCAGCAATGGGGGAGGGGGAACCGCGTCAGGACAGTTCCCCACCCCCTCCACTCCCAATGTCCCCACAGTACTAGCCTCTCAATGCTGCCCGCCCGCTTCAAGAGAGCCATGCCCTGACGCCTGGGGGTGGCTCCCCCTCCCCAGACGATGCCGCTCTCATCCACAGACATCTCCCACCACCTTTGCGCCAGTCAAAACCCTGTGGCAGTGAGTTCCGCAGGCTAACGACAAGAGGCCAAGCTCCCAGCTGACTCCTCGTGCCCCTTTCTGACGTCTCCCCAAGTCGGCCTTTCCCCCCCACGTCCCATCAGGCCGGCCCCCACCCAGCGATGGCAGCCCCGACAAGTCACAGCCAGAGGGAGGCGCTCACCTACCTCACGCTTTGGTTCCAGCAAGCCATAAACCTTCAGGAGCGTCCGGCTGGGCGGGGGTCTGGGCTCAGGTCGGGGTTGGGGGGGGCCAAGCTGGCTAATGCCACAACTCAGCGGTCCACGCCGGCTCCGACCTCCCAGCTGGGGGGGTCCTGAGGCTGAGCCCGGATGGCTAAGGCAAATCCACCCCCAAAATATCGGGGGGATCTGAGTGCCGGGGGCTCTCCCCTCCGGCTGCTGTGATGCTGTACCCCGGCAGCACCCCCAAGAGCCAGCACCTCGCTCCTCCCTATCCGGGGTTCATCCCAGGCTGGGAAGTGGGGTGTCAAATATCCAGCCTGGATTGGAGGTCAGAGGGGGTGAGTTTCAAAGCAGTGCGGGGGGGGGGGTCAGGCAATGGGGGGGGGGGGTAGCTGCCTCTCCCCAGAGCCAGGGGCCTGATCCAGGCCAGGATTTTAGCTCGGTGCTGATACAGGAAGGTGGGGGGGGGGGCTGCCCCTTCTGACTGACCCCAAAGCAGCTTCTGGCGCGGGGAAGGGGGGGCGGTCAGGAGCGGGGGAGGTCGCTGCTTCG